TATATATATATATATATATATATATATATATATATATATATATATATATAGCTAGCCTATCCTGGTTGATGAATGCTAAGATTTTTTTTAAATTTACTGATAAAGGTAATTAATACCCTTCATTGTTTTTTCCTTGCTGAATTCTCTAAACAAGAATCTGTGTTTGGTAATTTTGAAATAAGGCATGTACTACAAACATGAATTTGAAGCCTCTGTGTAAATTTGAATGAAAGTGCTTTAGTAGATAGAATTCAATATTGATAATAATCCTACCCATATAAAGATGACCTCTTGGGTTACCAGCTGTATTTTGGTGACTTCAGCAATTCTCTTCCTGAACTATGTGCTTCTCTGAAGAGAGGCCTTGTTGCTCGTTTTTTTCTTTCCTCTTATTTTTTGTCATCTGTGTATGGCAGTAAATCATATGACAACAAATACAATTTTTTATAAAGGCTAGACTACAATGGAATTCGTTCTAAGGTACTGAAGTTATTCACAAGTACTTAGTACTCCCAAGTACTATTGTAATTGGGAGAATGCAGCAGTTCCATTTTGTAGCACATTCTCGAGGTATGTGTATTCACAGACAAAAGCCTGTACATTTAAAACACATCCAGATTCCTATACCTTCAAACTGGAGTTTTATGATGTGTGAAGGTATTCACAACATACGCTTCTTAACCATCAACTGTTAATATGCAGCACCCTTTTTGATGTTTTAAAAAATGTTGGATCTGAAAAGCTGAAAGTATTCTGTTTCTATAAGAGTTGTGCATTCAGGTACAATGCCCCAATTTCTTGCACAAACATATTGGAACTTGTCCGGGCCAGAATGACATAAAATAGAAACAGGGACATATACAGAATATACAGTAAATGGGTCCAAGATGGGCTACAGAACATCAACTGATTGTCTTGTAATATTAGCTTCCAATCCTCTCACTCCTCTTCTTTCCTGTTTCCCCCCCCTCTCTCTCTGTCTCATCTCTTCCACTAGTAGCAGCCATATTATTATGCAGATGTCCTGACTGTGGGATGTGCAGTGGGGGTTGGCTGCTGTTTCGGGACACCACTTGGAGGCAAGTGGCTGCTTGCTTTTGTCTAAATTTTCCAAGATCACATCTTCTCTCTTGAATCATGCTTTAATCATTTATAAGACCTTTTATTATTATTAATATTATTGATTTTATATTGATAGCACTCTTCCTTCCCAGGATCCTATTGGTCATCATTTTCCAACCCATTAAAAAGCCCTCCATTTATTTTTAGAATCTTAGCAGTATGAAGATTAGTGTTCATTCATAGCAATAGCAGTTAGACTTATATACCGCTTCATAGGGCTTTCAGCCCTCTCTAAGCGGTTTACAGAGTCAGCATATTGCCCCCAACAACAATCCGGGTTCATGGCATCTTCTCATGCTTCTCCAATACATACTCAACTGAGAACCCATATGGGTAAAGCCAGTGCAATGTTTTGAGAAGCCCCTTGTCACTAGAATAGGAGGCAGTGATGTCACATTGGAAGGGTTGGCGGCAGCTTCTATTTCACCAAAATACAGGCTTTCAACATTCATTCCAGATAACCCTGAAGTTCTTTGGATTTTTTTTTTCAGTAAGAAAACACATTTTACAATCGAGGTCAATTGATGTTAGGCAGAGTTCCCCAAACTTTTCCATCCCTGCAGCCAGTGGAGGGGGGGGGGAGATGGTTCTGCACACTCCCCCGCCACTTCCATGGTCCAGTTCTGAATGCTGAAGGCCTGGTAGTGGTCTGTGGGTTGGGTACCCCTGAATTAGATTCAGCAGTACTATCCAGAACTTCTTGTGAAGTAAAC